ATGACCTTGACCTGATTTTGACAAGGTCACTCAAGGTCGAGTCCATATTTCCATCATGTGTTCCTCTTCAAGCCATGCAACTTTTATTCAAAAAATTTTTCAATAAAATTAATCGATTCGCGAGATAATCGACCATATCACTTAAAATGAAACACCTTGTATATATACGAGGGTCGTTTGAAAAGTCCGTGCAAAGTCACTGCTGATGGCACTACTGGCGCGTATCAAGGTTAGATTTAGTTAGTAGCATCTCTTGGAGGAACACACACCAAGTTACAGCCAGATCGGTCTATTTGTTTGTGTTTGGCATTCATTTGAATCGAGGAAGTCGAGGGGGGTTTGTTTCTGCAATCACGTCCTCGTTTCCATAAAATCTGTTTCCCGCCAGCCATTTCTTCATATTGGGGAACAAATAGTAGTCCGAGGGAGCCAAGTCTGGAGAATAGGGGGGATGTGAGACGAGTTGGAACCCTAATTCCATTAATTTTGCGACCACAACTGCTGAGGTGTGAGCTGGTGCGTTATTGAAAATCACTCAACCATGAAACGCTAAACATGGGGTGATATTCCGTTTTTATTTTAAAATTGTTTTAAATAATGTCTTAAAATGCTAATACAGTTCTCGGATTAACTTATGACATCTTTTGATTATACTTAAGACAGTCTTAAATGCAAGAAGAGACTATGAATATCGGCCTCTTTCGCGTCGTAAAATTGGTACTGAATCTTTCCTTGTTTAACACACTTTATGTTTTTTTTTTTATAAAAAGAAAACACACTTTATGTTTCTCTTTCTGTGTCTGTTTACTGTTAAAGTGTCACTTTATGTGTCTGTTTTCTGTGGCTGAACTACACTTCACAACTGGGACTTCACTTTTGGAACTTAAAGTGAGATAGATATACGTTTTATGGAACACATTCACACTTACATGTACACACACATATACATTCACACTCTTTTAGGTATACTTCATACTGTACACTCTGTTAGACATACATTGCTACTAGATGACGCGCTCTCACAACACTATACTCAATTGCCCATCTAGATACACTCTCATATTATTATTCCTTCTCGAACCGTCCTAGATACGACATCGTTACTTTACATTGTCGTGATTTTATATTGTATATGCTAACAAATAAACTTTATTACTTGTGAAATCATGTATAATCATTTAACTACATTCATTATATGTAGCCATCCGTTATACAGTTTGTGGAGACACATTCACATTTCCATACATAACACACACACGCGCGCGCACGCATGCATATACACACACATTCTCACTCTTTCAGTTATACATTAACCATGCCTTATACTCAGACTTACACACTCCGCGACCAGATGGCGCGCTCTCACGAATACAATATCGAAGTTCCCATCTAGACACTCTCTCTTGTTGATTCTTCTTCAACCGCGCAGATATACGAGACATATCAAGTTACATTGTCACGATAAGATATTGTATGTGATAATAAACGAACGTTGTTATTTGTGAATCCGAGTTTCCTCCATTACCTACATTTATTATATGCAATCCGCTACAGTTTGATATTTGTTTAAAGCAGGAAAGAGAGTTCTAGAATATAACGGCTTCTGCACACTGGACGCGAAACGTTTGCTCCGCGGCAAAATGTGATGCGGTAGCTAATAAGTTTACAGTCACTGAACTATATATACACTGGAATAGGCATCTCCGTTGTGAAGCAGAAAATCGTAGCACCAATTGATCAGCGCTATTTTAATTTGGTTAATATAAGAGCGAATCAGAAGCTTTCAGGTGCTCATGCGCACTTATGTTTAGTGTTCTTTAGTGAGACGCATGCTATTTCATTTGTACGTTTTTGTCGTACGACAAACGTGTACAGAACAGAGATCCTCAAATCTTTTTATCCATAGCCAATCAACAGGCTTGAAAAATTTGTCGTTCGACTAAAACGCCCAAATGAAATATAACTCTATGTCAGCAAGATCATTGTGTGTGGAGTTATATTTGAAAGATTACTTTGAAAGATTATAAAATCGCCTGACTGTAAAATGTGCAAAGCATCAACATAAAGTGCTGAGTGCCTGGACGTGGGCAGAGAAGTAAAAATTTCATTTCATAGATAAGAATTTTTGTATTAAATGTATCAATTTTTGCACATATGTTAACGACGTAAGATATGAAAATTATTAATGTTACTTTATTGAATATACTAATAAAATTGAAGTGACATTATTTTTGTTTACATACCATTGATGTCCATATACAGGGTGTCTGTTAAGTAAGGTCGGAGTCGCATTGGAGATGTAGAATGGGTCAAGGGGAAGAAAAAAGTCTTATGCCATTTTGTAATTTTCACAATAGTAACAAGATATTAATTACTAAAAATGGCCGAATATTTGTCTTCTATAATTTTTTTTTCAAATACTATCAATTTTACAAAAAAAACTATAAGAGATAAAAATTGTTTACTCTTTTCCCATAGAACTCTAAGAATTTTTTCAGAATTTTTTATCAACTTTTTAGTACTGCATTTTCTTATTTTTATTATTCTGAGAAAATACGATATTAAAAAATTCTTAGAACTTTATGAAAAAAAAATAAACAATTTTTGTCTCTTGCAGTTTTTCTGTAAAGTTGATAATATTTGAAAAAAAAATTATTAAAGATCACTATTTGGCCATTTTTAGTAATTAATATCTTGTTAACTATTACGAAAATTGCAAAATGGTATAAAACTTTTTTGTTCTCCTTGACCCATTTTACGCCTCCAATGCTGCTTTGACCTTACTTAACAGACACCCTGTAGCTTTACATACGATGACACCCTGTAGATAGTACATCGATCGATACATCGCAGCGCGTGCACGAACGCTTCTGATTCGCTCAAATATCGTCCCAGCTAAAATGGCGGCTGATCAATTGTGGCCACGAATTTTCCTCGATACCTATTCTAGTGTATATATACTTCAGTTCCTAATGTGTTATTGGTTACCGCTCATTTTGCCGCGCGTTTCCGCGTCCAGTGTGCAGGAGCCATCACACAAACGTCGTTTTATCCTTTTTGACATTCAGAGAATAACAAAGATAGAACAATACTTATGTCGGTATGTGTCGACTTATGTCATTAAATGAAAAACACCTAGTCAAAGATCATATTATTCCTTCTACCATGACATGCGTTTATACAAGAAAGTCATTTTTTGTCTATAGTCGCCAAACCACAGTAGCGCAACTCTCTGTCGGCATTTTTGATGTCAGTGTAGGCAAAATAGAGTGCGCATGCGTGAAATAAGTAAGTTACTTAACGTTGCTACAGTATACGAGGTCTGTTCAAAAAGTATCGCGAATTTTGAATTTCCGCGGCTTACGTATATTCAATTTTCGATTTTTTGTGGCGTTATGTTGGTACTCATGTCTCTCACTTATGCCGACAAGTTCGGCCATTTTGAATGTTCAGTTAATTTTTGACACCTGCTTTGCTTGCACGTGTTTTGGCTCGTCTTCGATTTTTGCCTATTTCAAAAAATGGATCAAAGAATCTGTATCAAATTTTGTGTGAAAAACAAAATTAAGTGCGCGGACGCAATCCGAATGTTGACTGTGGCATATGGTGAAGCTACCTTGGACCGAAGCAACGTTTATCGGTGGTACAAAATGTTCTGAGAGGGCCGAGAAGATGTGAACGACGAAGAGCGTGCCGGACGCCCGAGCACGTCAACAACAGACGAAAACATTGATGAAGTGAAGAAAATAGTATTGGCCAATCGTAACGGTCAATAAGGAATATTACCTGCAAGTTATGCGCAATTTGCGCGAAGCAATCCGCCAGAAACGCCCGGATTTGTGGAAGAACAAAAATTGGCTTTTGCACCATGATAACGCCCCTGCTCACACATCGTTGCTTGTGCGCGAATTTTTGACCAAAAACAACACACTAATGATGCCGCAGCCACCGTATTCCCCAGATCTGGCCCCCTGTGACTTTTTCTTGTTCCCGAAACTGAAGAGGCCCATGAAAGGACGACGCTACGCTACGATTGAGGAGATAAAGACGGCATCGAAGGAGGAGCTGAACAAGATCACAAAAAATAATTTTTTGAAGTGCTTCGAGGATTGGAAAAAACGTTGGCACAAGTGTATAATATCTGATGGGGATTACTTTGAAGGGGACAAAATAGATATTCATGAATAAATAATTTTTGAAAAAACACAAAATTCGCGATACTTTTTGAACAGACCTCGTATATACAGTAGCGCAACTTTGCTGATTTTATGTTGGCCAAAATGGAATGCGCATGCGTGAAATAAGTTGCCCTGTCTCTTTTCCTCCTTTTTTTATTGTTCTCTCTTTAAATACTACTACAATTAAATAATCTAAACTTTATTAAAATTAATAAAAATAAATTGTAAATATATTGAAAAATAAAGAAAAAATGTAGAAAATTAGGAAAAATATTAAAATGTAGGAAAAATATTAAATTAATTAAAAAATGTATATTTATACAGAAATATTATGTAATTGTAAATATATGCTATAAAAATATTATGAGAAAGCTGATATAAAAGAAAATTTATATACATATATATGCCCTAAAAATAAATTTAAAAATATAATAAATAAAAAGAAATCTTTCTTGCTCGGTTTTCTACGTTACTTTTGTTCACTTTTTTACTTTATCACTTTTTCACAAAAATTAGACTAATTTTTCGACGTTTGTTACACATTTCACCAAATGGGCAATACACTTCCCTCCAAATTTCTATTCTAAACCATGTATACTTGAAAGACAAATGTTAAATGGAACATTGAAATGCTTATTTAGAGAGAGAGAGAGAGAGAGAGAGAGAAAGCGCAATAAAGAAGGAGAAAATTACAGAGCAACTTACTTATTTCACGTATGCGCACTCCATTTTGGCCAATATAAAAGCAATAGAGTTGCGCTACTGTATATACTGTGGTCAAACTCTGATTATAAGATCTCTAGTTTCCGAACGCAGCCTAGGTGTATACGTGGCTTTATACTTTCACCGTTCCACCATATATTTTCCAATTTCCAAAGTCGGGTGTTCAGTTCCAGTCGTGAATGCTCGTGAATAATCTTTTCATTCTCTGGTTTAATCCTGATCGTACTTTAGGTATCAGGTGTTTCTTTTTCTTATCATTTCGGTAATAATAACCATATTGCAAGAAAAATGGTAAGTTTTTAATATTATATATTAAATTATTAATTTAGATATAATGAAAAATGTGGATGAGAGAGTTATCGTATATCTTAGTAAAATTTATCTTTAGTTTCACCTTTATTTGACCTTTACTAAAATTCTGCATGTATTCATTTATTTGTCAATGATTCTCGCATACAAATACATATTAAATGGATATTAAATATATTAATTTAAATTTAATTAGTTTC